TGTTAGGATACTGCTACGGCATTCGCCTGGTGTTGATCGGAGAAACCACAAAAAATACCAATCAGAGCAGCCGACCGCTTGAATTCTCATCTAGGCAGCGGCTGAACTCGACGCAGCTACCTGACTAGTGTCGAATATCCTGTCACCGTCGGAACTCGAAGCCTGGGACCTCCCGGTCAGAAGCAGTGCAGTGACATCATTGGTTGCCCAAGGCCACCTAAACTGACGCTCGAAATAAGGGAACAGTTGTCCAGGCATCTGCGAAAGCGAAACAATGCGTTTTCTGATTGCCAACATGGATTAATAATACCAAAATCTATTAGAACCGACATATTTTCTTAAAGATTTTAAATTGAAAGTAAAATTAATTCGTACTTCCATTGGAATTCGAGGTATTACGCTGGATTGGTTATGTTCATAGCGTAAATAATGATCTCACGAGAGTTTAAATACAGTACTGAAACCTACCAACCTTTCCTATTCATTGCCAACTGCAGATAGGGTCCCGCAGGGTTCGATTTTAGGACCTATTCTCTCATATTCTCTTCCTTATATTAGTAAACGATATGTCCTCGACGATTCGAAATGGTGGAACTGACCTCTTTGCGGAAGATATGAACATTCTTTGCAATGAAGAAATCGTAAATACAGACAAGAATAAAGAAACATCAAATTTACATACAATACTTGCACATTATTTTACAATACTTTGCCAGCTGACATTAAACAATTGAAATCGGGATACAAGTTTAAATGCCAAGAAAAATATTTTTTGCTGCATAACTGTTTCTATAAAAAGAGACTATAGTCTGAGCATTACAAGTGAAATAATATTAAATTTAACAATGATACTCAATTTGTTACCATTTGGACTGTACAATTCTAAACAACCTGTAACAAGTATTGAACCTCAAGCTTCTGAGGCAATGATCCCGTCTCGATCACATTTTTCGTCCAGTTTCCCTGATCCTTAATGAGCGGATGCTGAGATGGCTTCTTGTTTTGTTATATTAAACAATATTTGAAATAAGATTTTCTCAAAAAGGGCTCCACATTTTTTCTTCTTAACTTTTTGTACTGATAGTGCGAAATGCACTATATAAGATTACATATACGGTAGTTTGCTGTACTCTTTTGTATCTCATTTCTCTTACATTAACAATTACATTACATAAATGAAAAGAACGCATTAAAGTGGCATTTATGTCATGTGCATTTAGCACTATCCTAACAAAATTTAAAAGAAAAAAAATGGTTCTGAAAATGTGCAACTTTGAGCTTATTTTCACAGAAAAGCTTAGAGTTTTAAACACTTCAATAGAAATAATTTGAAGCACGTGTACTTAAAACTGCAGAAATGTATTAAAAAATTAACTAATAATAATAATAATAATAATAATAATAATAATAATAATAACAACAACAACAATAATAATGTAGTTAAGTAGCTTGTAATGTAGATATAATGATGTGATATTAAAAACTAGCTGGGCTCTAACAGCACGTTTTTTCTCGCGATATTGTGAATGGTTATGAAATATTGTAATATGGAAATTTCTGTCTGACACTTCAACTACCATTAAAAAAAAATCTTTAAGAAACAAAGCGCGAAAAATACATATTTTTACTTCCTCGAGCTTAAGATGAGAAAGTTACGTAATGCTGCACGAAAAAATGGCGAATTTCCGAAGAAAAACCATTACAGGTCGAAAATTAATTAATTTCGAAAAAGTGGATAAATCAAGTTGCTAAATATAGAAGAAAAAATCCACCAACACATTTTGTACCCAGAATCCTTGTTGCATGGGTCCTTGATTCCGAAAAATCGATTGTTGGCAAAACAGCCGTCCTTGTACAACGCTAGCGGATAAACCGTTCAGCGGAATTTCTCCAAAATTGATATTCCCCGATCGATCTGGCTGATGTCGCGGCCCCTTGAATTTGAAATAGATATTTTAAGTTTGGAGGGTAATTTACATAAAGGTCCTAGGTCATTTTAAAACTGATTTCAAAAACTAGTGTCATCAATTTTGATTAAATTTTGTTGTTGGATAGTCTGACGGGCGTTTCAAATAATGGCACAGCTCTCATATTCGTTAAAAACTCAATGTTTCAAAAATTGAAAAAAAGAAAAGAAAAAAAAAAACATTTTCCCCACAACTTCCTACAATGAAAATATTAAAAAAAGAGATTTTTTTCACAATAGAATCTGTTTCTTAAGATAGGCTTTGAAATAAGGTCATGAATAAATTTTTACGAACAATTTAATTTTTTTAACAAACCTAGTTTTCCTGCAACAGGGAACCCCATAATGTGTATTTCTGTTGAAATCTGTAAATCGACATTCCACATAACTTTCTCTATACTCATGTATATACATACTACGTATATACAAGAGAGCAAAAATCCTTATTTCTGCTAAAATTTCATGATCTCCAGATCAATGAAATAGTACCCCAGACATTTCCTATTTTCTCAGTTTTCCAGAAAGTGGCTACCCTGTGTTAATACTTTTAAAGTCATAAAATGTCTTATATGTTTGTATCATTAGCAATAAGATCCTCTAACTCCAAAATGAGGTGTTCATGTTAAGTTTTGCTGTTAGGAAAGCACCCTTGAAATATTTGACATAGGTATAATATTTACAAACAGTGGGAAAATATATCTTATAATAAATTATATTATGTATTATATGTTTTTCTAGATTTGAAGTGAATTAAATAGTTTTATCTGTGGAAAAAAGACACAATCAAATAGAAACAAATAAGTATTAAAGTTCTACATAGATAGCAATTAATCTGTACACATTCTCTACATCTACTTACCTAGGTGACAGCACTCATACAAAATCCAAACTATAATTTGTTTCAAAATCAATTAGCTTGGTGGCTTTCTCAGCACAGGATATTCCATTAGACATACAGAACAATGGATGTTTGAATAGGTTAAAACAAGATCTTCATACCTGCCAAGACCCTGACTGCTTAGTCTTAGCAAATTACCTAATCTTTGGGTGAATATCTTCCTTCGCTTCAGTAAATTTGATCCCTGGAATGCTGGACTTAACTTTGGTGTCAGTACATAGATCCCACATTCTCTAAGGCTTATCTGATGAGAATGATGTTCAAAATTCTACAACAAAATGAGACTAGCATTACGTAAAAAAAATGGTTTTCCAAATTTTTTTCTGTCACTTTGTGAATACCATATGGTTATTGTAAAGAGTAGCAATTATATATTTTTTATTTGAACAAGATTTACTTACATTGATTTCTAAAAACTCTTACCTTCTTAAAAAGTGTCCCATAAATTTTAATTTTCTATTTAAAATCACATAGCCTAGGTTTTTTGAGCTTCTTTGCCTCATCCAAGTTCCTAGTTTTATTTCTCTCAACTTATTATCGCACTATGTTATATCTAATATGTATACACATAGAATATTATACATCAACAAAATACCATTTCCTCTAGGTGTTCTTCTAAATTTTATTTCACAATTACGAACTAGTGATGCTAAAACAGCACATACTTTTTTGCCCCTTAGTAACTTATGTAATAATATTATATCTCATTTCTGACTATATCATTACATCTCAGTCAATAAGCATTGACAACAAAGTGCACACGCAACGATGGACACTGCCAACAATGAGCACACACATTTTGTTGACTCATAGTCGGTGTGAAACCTGTATATATTTCATTAATTTCAACTAAAAAAAACGCAAAAACTATTCTTTTTTAAAAAATTGTATATGAACTTTCATGAAGAGCTAACTTTGTTCAACAGACTTTATGAGACAAAAATCTCTATTTCCAAATATTTTTTTTTCTTCCAATTTTCGAAAAATTGGGGGATGTCAAGGAAAATGAGACCTCCACCATTCACATAAACGTTCTTTGCACTATTTAACAACAAAATTTAATCCAAAAATATAAAGCAATTTCTTTTTTTAAATTTTGAAAATGTCCCAAAGGCTACATGTGAAGTTCCCACCAAAATTAAAATTTCAGTTTCAAATTCCAGGATCCGCACAATCAACTAGAACGATTTGATATATAAATTTTGGAGAAAATCTGCTATTTATGTGCTAGTGTTGTTGCACTGACTGACAGACAGTTTTATTGTCAATTGATTTTTCAGTGTCAAGGACACACAAAACATGGATTCTGGCTACACTACATTTTAGAGGATTCCCCCCCCCCCTTTAACAAATGTTTTTATCCATTTTTTCCCCCTTACCAGGGCTCGGAAATAAGACTGTCAAAAATTCACTGTTTTCCGGTGCACGATTTCAATACTTTCTCTTCTCACATTAGTTAGTGTGGGAAACTAAAAAGTACACTGCACATGAAACAATTGGTTAGTTTTTCTGTGCCAAATACATACCTTTTTTACTCCCTTGTCAAGACATTTCTTGTTCTTATCACTGCCTCAGGCCCACATCACTACTCTTGCAGAAAATAATGCTGATTCACTAAAGATTATACAATTTTATATGACATTAGGAAAATAATGCCACCATAAAACTTAAATAATCTGTGAAATAAATATCAATCACTTAAATATTAATCCTAACTGCTTCTAACCAACGGGATAAATGACAAAGAAATCATTTCTACAAGAAAACTGTAATAAAACACATTATCTAAATTTTGAAACCTTTAGTTATTTTAAACTTTTTGTGTATGAATAACTACTAGAATTAAAATGATTTGAATAAAAGATTAAAATAAATTACAAATTAACCTTTCTTTATTCACGTGTATTATGTTCAGGAAGAAGTGTTAGGCGAAGAATTCAATTCACACATAAACTAACTACAACGAACATTTTAAATAGTAACTAAAAAGTTATGAAAGAATTCTTCCCTTAAGCAACCTGTCTAGGTGATGCTAATGAGTGCTACCAAATGAAAATACTTAATTATTCAGTGAAAATCAACTGTTTGAGTCTGTGAGGTATTCTAATAAGTAACATGCTACTTTAAATAAATACATTGCATTGAAAAATTTCATTTATTGCACACTAATATAAACACTGAACAAAAAAAATAGTAATGATTTTACAATGTAACACTAACATCCAGAGAAGATTTTGGTGCCAGATAATTACAAATTATGAAATCATACACACCTAGCAGATCTCTTAATGACAGTCTGAACACATACTTTCCATTGTAAAGATTTCTACACAAGACTTCTTAAGTAGAAAAGATTCATCACAATTGTACTTTTTTATTTAATGTTATGATTAATTCATTAAAAGACAAAATTCTGGCCATACTTAAATAATGCATTACAATGTAGCCTAACACCATTTTAAAATTCTTGAGTTTCATATTTTGAGTTGTGCATGTGCCAGTACACATTTATGGAAGGATTTTCTTCTACAAAATCATCATTAAATTATCAGTATCTCCTCTTATAGCTAACTTTTCTTTTGTGGTACCATTGTAAAACAAAACTTTTTTCAATCATGCTTTCGTTCAACAGCGTGGCAAATAAAAATACACAACAAAGCAGATTATTCAGGAAGAAGTATATAATATTTGGGGCAAATATCATTCCCCTCTTTAGGTTTACAAAATATTCAGTACAAAACAAATCCACTATTCATTCTACACCATGATTATCACAATTAAACAAAAAAATATCTAACATACAATGCATAATTATTTCCAAAGTCATCTTGTTTTCTTTGTTACTTCAGCCTCCCTCAAGTTCTCAATCTCTGCACAATATATCATACGTGTATTGCACCACAAGAGACAAATTCATATTGACAATAGGAAAATTTCCTACATGTGAAAATCTAAACATTTTACACACTTTAATAGTTTTGGCAATTTGGTCCTATTTGAAGAAATAATGCTATTAATTTTGCATTCTGAAAAGTATAGGAAGTTATCTTAGCTTCTGCATGATTATAATGTCCGACCAACTTCCCAAACATATTGTCACAACACAACTGTCTTTGGCCATTTACAGAATGACTGCGATTATACTCCTGAAATTTAACTCGCTTATGCCAAAGGTTTTGAGAAAATCAATCAAAATAATAAAAAATTAAAGATAAAACTTTTCTTCATAGAGTGTACTATACGTGCTATGTAAACCTATTGCCATATTTCTCTTCAATTTCCTCTAGTTTGATTTTCAATCTAATAACACTATTAAAAAATATGAATTTGTTCATATCAAGACAACTAAACTTTAATTTTTATCTAAATTTACAGAGAGAGATATAACTAGTCTGATACTACTGGTAATTTGAGTGAACTACTTCTATCACATTTCCTTTGTGAATTGTACTGACACATTGTCGGAAACATCTATAAGAAAAGAATTATCACAATTTCTTATTTAAAAACATCTAGACAAATAAAAAGGACTTAGTTAAGAACCTACTTGGCATACACAAGTTAAACTATGTGGAATAGCTGGTTGCTGGGACGGAAGGAGTATAACAGGAGATATGATACTTTCAAGATACTGTAACAGACTAATTACTCAAATTTTTATTATTATATTATTAATGATATGAGCAAGTTATATTTCACCAATCCAAAACTTTGTTTTATAATTTTAACACTTGATCGAATTCATACACCCCTTTTACCATACACCTTTTCAACACTTGTCTCAAGGCAACCTTCCCTCAACAAAAGCATATTCTTTGGCAGTGACTAGCATATATCATCACATTCAATTCTGTTATACAAAACCGACAATCAATACTAGTTTCTGAAGTACAGAAAAGGAGTTTAAGTTTCATTTCATATTGAAAATCCTACTCTACTTTGAGATTCTAATGCTCTGCTTCAGGGAATGAACAAGAGAATTTAGAGAATTTAGTTTCCTAAAAGTTCTCACTTACCTATACAGTAATATCTAAAAGAATTAAAACAGCTGGGTACTGGTAAAACAAATGGGTAACCATAAAATCTTATGTGCAAAGTATGAACAAAAGCTCAACTATTTCAAATAATCTTCTCTAAAAAAATTAAAACACAAAATGGGTAACTATAACATTTTATATGCAAAGCATAAACAAAAGTTCAAGTATTTCAAAAAATTTTCTTTGCTGTAGTTAAATTCCTCCTTATTCACTACAAAACATATGACTTAATAATAGCCATCAATAAACATCAAGCACCCCAAAAATAAATAAAAAACATTATTTTGAGGAATTTTTCGCTACACAGAAATAATTTCAGTGTCTACGAAATAAAATCTATATTACTTCCCAATTATAAAATGTGAAAAGCAGAGGAAAAATATAAATATATTGAATTACTATAAGAAAAACAATGAAGTAGCCAAGTATATGCTCCCATAAACATTCTCTTCCAAAAGTATAGAGAAAATAATATCATTTCATTGAATTGCACAACTTATTAGAGGATTGTTTATAACATCATCCCATTGTTTAACATCACAGTGTTGATGACTGTTGTAGCTTACAACATCATTTTCTAAGAAATTAGAAGACAACTTCTAATAATGTATTTTAAGATAATTAATTGTCCTGCACTGAGAACTTGAGGGCTACAACAAACTGGACACTGAAATATGTTTATAAGATCTTATACATTCTTTTTATAAATCTCAGATTAAAAATAATTTGTTCACTTATTAATGCAATTAAATCAACTAGCTCATTTTCATGTTTTCAAACAAGGACTCAGTCACGAACACATTAACAATATATTTCAACAAGACATGGACACCATTTCGAAGTGAGAAGTTCTTTCCTGAGATGTTCCAGGATGACGTGTGTAATGTTCAAAGGAAGTTAACACTAAAATGTTAAAATGGGTCCTTCGCGGTGGTCTAGAATGTCTAGAATGAAAGGGAAAAATCACAAACATGTGAATTAAAGAAAAGGTTAACAATAGAATGTCAACAATAAGAAAAGGTTAATAATATTAAAAAGAGTTTAATATATCAAAATCCAAAAATTTAGAACATGAAAATAAACTCTCATTCCTAAAAATTTCATATAAGTCCTACAATTGAATTATTTAGAACTGAAGAATTTCATAAATAAAAACAAACATTTGTAGAAGGGAATAAACATTTATCATTGCTACAATTTAGAAATAATTCAAGTATGGGTTCAAATTGCTGGTATAAAGTGGTGATTATTACATTCACATTGATTTTTTCTTCTTAAGTTTGAAATAAATTTTATTCCAGGATATTTGAAAGATATGAGTCTTACCTTTTGCAATGCTCCACCATGGCAAAGTAATGTATGTAAGGAAAGCATTCAATGGAACTGACTGGGCACGTCTTGATTCTTTCCAAAAGTGGAATGTCTGTGTGAAACCCCTCATAGTCCACAAGGGATTGTAAGCTCCATCATCCAGTTCTGCAAACAGTTGCCAATTCATCAAAATTTTACAAAATATGCTTGAAGTACAATGGTACATATTTTGTCATGGAACTCAAGGCCAAAAGTTAAACAATGTCTCCCAAGAATGAAGCAACAGTTAGTATGGTATATATAACACCCTACCCAGCCAATGGGAGTGCACCTGGTAGGGCCTCTTAATGAGCAACTAAGTTTTCTCGTGTTGGTTGAGGTTCAGTTTGATCCAGGGATGCCACCAGAGCCGACATGTCAAGAACTACTCTGTACAATTGTTTTCAGTACCAATCAACATGCTTCTCTCAGTGTGTAACTTGGAGAGTGTATTTATGTAGTCACAGGTTTTTACCTAATACGAGTTAAAAATTGTTTAGTTAATCAATAAAGAATATTACTACACACCCTATATGATACGCAATATTTCTCACTCATCAAATACTCAGGTCTCTCTTCACTAGTTTTCAAAAGATACAAAGATATCAAGTACAATAGCAAGATCATGAAGGCTGTCTAGTTCATTGCCTTGTAAAGATACTACTCTCTGATGAAAGTTAAAATAACATAGGAGCAACAGACAGCAAGTTTCATGAACCAGTGGAGGACACCTTCAAAGTTAAGCAATAATTCAAAGCAACAAAGAGTTTGTGAAATAATTAAATAATATTCGCTTCAATACATCAAGGATAAAAATTTGTTGTCATGATCACAAAAAAAGAAAGGGCACAAATAAATCAAACCCCCAGAAAATAACGTTTGGCCTTTGATAAAATGTTCTTTGAGGTTTGTTTTGCAGCCAGAACGCCAATTAGCTTGTCTAAAGCAATGTTGGAACCTCACCACTGACTTCTTTTCCTTGACCCTAATCAACATCCTTTAACAGCTTTTTATGAGAAAAACAGTGCAAATATGAATAAGACAAGCCTCAATCAGGAAATCCCTACTTATTAAAACTTCCAAAACCTTTTTTTTTATTTTTTGACAAACGTCTTATGTCAGGAAGGATTTGGGGAAAGAAAGGGTAAGTTCCAAACATTTGACAGATCCCTCAAACAACCAGTTCCCCAAACTGTTTGACAGATGGCCGACCCACAAGCTGTCTGATGTGAAGAATTTTTATTTTCTGAATTATTCCTGTTATTGGGAAAACAGTGCTCTATTGTCACAGGTAATTAGTAGATGAATATTTGTAAAGTTACATAATATATACTCGTAAATAATCAAAATGAAATTCAAAAATTAAAAGTGCTTAAAACGGTTATTTTCACTGTTTTATCAACTCATTAACAATGAGTAAATTTACATACAATTAACAGAAAACTACAGACAACAACTAAAACAATGCTTCACAGAACAAAATACAAATTTCAAAATACATATTAAAGCTCACAACACACATTTAAGGGGAAAGGCAAATAATCACTGAAGATAAGAGTAAAACAAAATATCAGTAGGAAAAATTATCTTTAGTATATATGTATTGAAGTTCTTTTCTTAAGATGAGAAAAGTGAAACAACAAAAATGTACTATGATTTGAGCTGAAGTATTGAATACATGCATTAATTATTGAATCACAATGTTTAACTCATATCCTACATCCATTCAAGTGAACAACTTTTCATTCAAGGGACTATTCAAGTGAAAAATTTCAGCTTACTCAATCCTTTGCCTCAATTAGTGTTGGAATTTCAGATAATATACTGCAAGAAAACTAATATGAAAAAGCAATTCATTGTTATACAGACATTTATAGTTTATTTATTTATTTATTTATTTATTTATTTATTTATTTATTTATTTATTTCATTTTTAGTTTGATTTCATTTCAAATTATTAACTCAAAATAAAAAGTTTAAATTTGAAATTCATAAAGAAATTATTATCAGCCATCAAAATTATATTATCTTGTTATAGAATGTGCCAATGTAAATTTATGAAATGTTAAGTTGCAAATATAAAATTATGTCCAAAAAATCTTCATTGAATTTAGGAATTTTAAATATATTCTACATAGATATCACATCTATTTAATAATAAACAGGTTGAAACATGAGAAAGGAATCAAACTCTTGTATATTGCTACACAAATACACCCAAATATTCAAAATAAGAACTATATGCTGCCAGAGCATTGCAAAAGACGAGCATCACTAACTACAATACACAGTCATCAAATCAAAGCCATGCAAGAGCTTACTCACCCCGAGATCCTGGAACACCTCTGCGGGGCATATCACACCAATAATTTACAAGTGTACCATCTGGTGTCAGCCGGAATGGTGGGGTCACACACCTGCCTAAGGTTTTTGTACGATTGTTCACGGAATCCTTCAGACGTTTAGGTAAGGATCTGGTACAATATTCTGATACACATGGCGCTGGTGTCACTGGTTCTTGTTCTACAGTCAAACTATCTGCTGTTTCATTGAGTCTATCAGGTCGGCTATTTCTTCCCAGTATACGATTACCTGTAGTAGGCCCATTGTGGGTTTCACCCAGTTTTAGGGAGTTTTCAGTTTTTCCTGTGGTCGAGAGCTTTCCTTGCACAACACCAGAAGCAGTGGCAACATTGGCACCATTTTGAGGAGAGCTGTCTCCCAAGGAAATACAGGATTTTTTTGAACTATTAGGCCTACATACACTTGCATCTAATGTGGTATCCAAGGTGCCATTGCATTGTGCATTATTATTGACACATGAGGAGCATCTCTGCATACTTTCATCACTACAGGTCCCAGTTGAGCATTTGGTTGTATTCCCTTGTACTGGGGTGGACATTCCACAGTAACTCTGTGACATGCCCATGCTTATTAAACCTGTGTGCGATGCTCTCTGACTTGAACACCGAATACGGGGAGAGGAGGAAGAAGAAGAAGTAGAAGAGTGCAGGCAAAACCCGAGCTCTACGGACAAAAAAAAGCAAAAAAGAGAAAACAATAAAATAAATAACCAAACACCAATATTGCAACAGAGGCCATTTCCAAAAGAATTAGAATATCTATAACAAATCAACACATTTAATAAATGTGTCACATACTTAAGTTGTATAAAATCATGCTACAATAGTCTATACATAATGGCCTCTGTGCCTCTACTGGGATATGATTATTCACTGCTGATGGAAATAACAAAAATAACACAGTGAATAATCTCAGCCAATCCTTGATAACCCTTACATTAATTTACACTTATTTAAAAATGCACTAATGTACTGCATGTCCTTTAATATTAACTACAAAACATTTTAATTGTCTATTTATGTATTAGTTATGCCTTCCAGTTCAAGAAATCATGACATAATACATTTTTACAATCCGACAACCACACAGTTTGTTCACATTCAACCAGGGTCCTCCTCATTCATCAACTTGTACTTATGTCATGCATATAATTATTTTACAGAAACCTCCGGAAGGAGGGAGAAAGATGGAAGAGAAAGTACCAGCTGAGTGATTTGCCAACAAAGTGCACAAATTTAATGTCACTCCTGAGCATTTAGTCATTGAGGCTACCTTTCTAGTTTGCTAACTTTGTACACATGCATTTTCAGAAGACATTCTACAGGAGAATTTGATATGAAGGTGCATACTTGTATAACATAAATAGCTCTGTGATTTTAGGAATATCTCAGAAGTTATGCATAAAAATCTTTTTGTAGTGTGCACTACAATCCTACACTCGTTTAATGACCCTAAATTCCTCAACTTTTAATATTGAGAAAAATGTTCAAAAGATTGAGGTAGTACTGAAGAAGTACATACATAGCTTGTGAAAAAATCTAGAAAAAATGATCTGAATAAACCTAAATATGAGTATTTTGGTTATCAAGGGCTGACTGACTTATGTAACAAAAGACTGCAAAAGAAAACAACAACTACAAAATAAATATCTGATAGAAATTAAAAAAACATCTCGAATTTGCTTAAAAGAAATGCATGGGAAAAAATAAAGAAAATGGAAAATACACATTGGACCATGCTGCAAATTCTACGAGGAGCAATCTGCCATCCAACGACTACCCTGCAATCAACAATACTGTCTGCTCAGTTGGAGCACAATGTGAGAAGCAATCAAATGTAATCATCGGCTTCAGTGAATACAACAACTCTGAAGTGCTCTTGGATTGGTTTTGAAGCAAGCACTGTGAAAGGTTGGGAGGGGTTAAAGAAAATGTTCAGACATGCAAACCGAGTTCTAAGGTATTCTTAGGAAAATTACTTATCTATTCAAATGTTACTCTCTTAAAACCCACTCTACATAAATCACTAACTGGTACATCTCTGGACTTGGATAGTAAACAATACCTAGTTGGAAAGCATGCCAAAACCTCTGAATTTTTCAGTGCTTACTTCTCAAAGTACAAATTTAAGTTCTTACCATCTCTCACATCTCCTGCTTCAATTTCTGTCAGACCATTGGCCATTGAATCTAGACCTTCATTTTCAGATCGAGACTTGGCACCTGCAGATTCATAAGCTTTCGTTTTCCATCCCCCGCGGACAAAATTATTCAGATTAGCACTAGGATCACTTAGTCTTCTCTGAAATGGGTAAAAACAAAAGAAAATAAGTTTAAATATATGCTCAACAATTGTCATAAATACACTTGTATAAACACAACAGTACATCTACTACTTGGTAGTTATTTCATTACGTACAAGCTATTGTGTACTACAGAAATAATACTGATATTTTTATTCAAAATTGATATTTTATTCATAAAAAAAATAAGTGGATACTGATATTCAATAGTGCACAATCTTTCATTTATAATTTGCCATGATCTACTCTTTTGTTTTTTATATAAAAAATGCAATAGAGCACACCTGATGCCTGTATACATAAAATTCTTCAGGATCTTCATCCCAGTCAGAATCCCACATATCGGTTGCACAAAGTCCGGGTTCTGAAGTTGGGGTTTCAGCACCTGACCCTGCAAATACATGCCAAAACAGACTGAGAATTTCAGGAAGAGTTCTTTACCTATGTTGTGATGATTCATAGTCATCATGCACTGTAAAGATTAAAGGCCTGAGGCCTGGTCCTAGTGATGATTCAATTCTCTGAAAAATTCTTCATATACTTTTCTGGTCAAACAACAATATTCTGTTAGTTAACAACTCTTATCCATGTACATCTCACTCAGAAGTGTTGAAAAAGTAAGAAGTAAACAAATATTATCAAATATCTAGCAGCATTCAACAAAAGTAGCAATGCTATAAAAAAAAGCTATTAAAAAGCAAATGTCCATAAGAATTATCAATTAGAAACATAATGGTTTAAGAAATTCATCAGCTTTTGAAAAACAATTTAAAATAAAGAAAAGAAAAATCTTGAAAACTAATTCAAAAAGGCAAACTTTCAAAAAGGACTATTTATTAAACCTATTTTAGGGAAAGTAATAGCAATACCAGTAACTTAAATTTTCAAAGATTTTGGCAAACTACAAAACAAAATGCTATGATAAGTAATATGTAATTCACAAATCAAAAATTTAAAACATACTCTTTATGTATAATTGAGTTATACAACCATGGTATTTTAGATTTGTTTTATTAGAAACAGTTCAAGACAAATATTGTGTGACATTATTGACATAATTAGTTATAAATAAAAAATTCAAAACAATAAATTTCTATTTTTCTTTCTTATACTATCCTACACTACATTACACATCTTTCTAAAATTATTTTATAGAAGAGCATTATCTTTCTTTCAATATTAAAAAAACAAAACATTATTATAGTATTAAATAAGACTTACTATTTCTATGGTTTATTATTATTTTTGATACTAATAGTTTCAAACAAAACAGCTGCTTCTCTTTGAAATCTGGGAATAAGTTTCATGAGTTTGTCCATATAAAGAAAAATATACATACCATGTGTTTTAAATCTATTCCTAAGATAATAAAAATGTTACACAAAGAATTTCTAATACAATCACTTATACTTACCAAAATGCATGAAGTAAAAGTATCATAAAGCATGATTTGTAAAAGTATAAAAACCTCTCATGATGCTTTAAACAATCTAAATTAAATAGCACAAACAACTTAAATATCAAACTTTTCTTACAAATAGCTTTACCTTTTGGTTTAGTCACAGCCATTTCAGCATGACCCTTGCCTTGAGGTCCTTTCATTCGCACAAACTCTACCCTCTGTGTAGTAGCCCCAGAGAAGAGTCCAAATGTCATCCTTTGTGCCATTTTGCTACTCAAGCTAGACTGTAAATTAACAAAGCATTACCAATTAATTTCTAAGAAGAAAAGATAGAATTAGTGGGGTGTTAGAGTAACAAAACCTCATATTCATCTATCTATAGAAAAATACAACAAATATTATACATGGTACATTAACATATATTTTTTAGCAACTTTCATCATTTACTTTCATTCAGAATTTACATTCGCAATTGTTAGTAATTTCAAAGTTGTATCATACTTTCACTTATCTAAAGAAATTTTCATTCTGTCAAGCATTAAGAATTGTTTATTATTAAATTCACAAATACAAAAAAATTGCATTCCTTGTTCAGCACAGTACTCCTTCAAAACATGTTTTGTAACCTAGTCTACCATTTTTCACTACAATTCAAAGAACAAGAGTGTTTGGAGCGTAGTATTGGAAGTTATTGAGAAAGAATAGATGAAGTTATTAGAGACAATTGAAATGTTATGCTTAAAGGAATGTGACACCAAGTGAAGAAATGTTCAGAAAATAATAATAATAATAAGTAATAAAGATGATCATGCCCGCTAAACTGCAACCACAAGTGCAATAATATTTATTTTGTAATAACGATGTCTACCTTTCATTGAAATGATTCTAAAATGTCAAATGTGCTTGTAACAATTAGAGTAATCAGCTTCTGCGACAATGACCACTATTTTCATTAAGTGTTCCTTCAGTATCCTATGGTCCACAGAGCAAATACTGAGATGGTAGTTTGGTCCTTTAGCTTGCTTCTGAACGCTAAAGCTTTCACGCTTTTCACGCTCCCAATCTCTAAAGTTTTACTCTTTTTGAAGTAAAATATGTGAACATTAAAAGAAAAGTTGCAAAATATATTTTTAACTTTTGCTTATAAAACAAGTCTTGTTCCTCCCCTTTGAAAAAATTCAGCTCAAAGTTTTGTTGATTATTGGGGATTTTAGCAAATAATTAGATGAAATAAACAAACTATGAAACATAATAGCAATTACTCTTTACTGAACTTTTATGTTCCACTTATGATTATGATATGATATGCTTAATAACAGACATCCATTTTGAGATATTATTTCAATCCGGAGAACACATCTTGAAAGCATCAATTCACTTTCTATGAAATTCTGTAGTAAAAATTAATTTAAATGAGAATAAAATTCGTATTTGTTGAAAGTTCAGGAAAAAATAAAATTATGTGAAAATGAAACAATTATTATATTTCAATAACTTTTGGCAAAAAAATTCCTAGTCATTAAAATATTTTAACTGGCCCTAATTTATACAACACATTCTTCACACATTTATAGATGCATGTCCTAAATCTGTCACCATATCTTGAAATTAAAGTGTTGTATTATTAAGTTTCAAAAAGCGTAATACAATAATGTAATTCTTAATATTAAATTAACCTGTTATTTGAAATTACACTACAAAAAAGTTAGTGTTATACTTACTCTAGCATCATATACTTTCTTCAGAGCATCATACCGAATGGATCCAAGAAAAATTACTCCTTGAATGGCGCCATCTCTATCAGATGCCACCAATTCCACACATACCATTTCACCATCTCTGACCAATATGTCACAAAATACCTATGGACGAGGTGACATAATCGGAATAGAGCAATTCAGTATAATTCCAATTTCAACATCAAAATTATTGAGAACTTGGCTTTTACTTGAGGTACTCACTTCATCAAAGTTGTCCACCATGAAGCAGATATGAGGGTAGGTCATTTCCTCAACTTCCCCTTTGGCATCCATTCTTCTACGACTAGGAGAAGCATACACTTTCTAAAAACATATCAAAAAAATGTATTAGCATTATTTTACAAACAGTTTTTACATATTTTTGAGGTTAATTAAATAAATAATTGTTCTCCTTCAATGTTCTAGACACTCAACCTCTGAAGTACCTAAAAACTTGTTTAATTTTTAAGTCCTTCATTTGATCTGAACTATTTAACAGGAGTGCAGTTTTGCTAAAAAGTGATTCCATTGCAATTGTGTTGCTTAAATTCAAAGAATAATACAAATACACAAACTGATTATTTGAACAAAATGAATTAAGTGGCATATTTCATACAATTATTAAAAGAAGAGAGTTAATAAAATTATCAAATAATTCAATCATTACAGTTGTGATATCCCATTATAACGTAATATTTAGAACACTTTACAAGACTTCTTTTGTTTCACTTTGTTTAACTACTCTCTTCTGATATTAGAAACAGTTGCATGCAGAACCAGGGTAAAATATGTATTTTTATTCACTTCAGTAGTTTATATCTTCAAATAAATTTCCTAATACAAAAGAGTTTTTAGATTACAATCCTCTTCATTACTTTTTATCTATTACCAAAAACATACAAATCTTTCCATCCTCTCCTCATATCTGTATATATAGTCATGAGAGAGAGAGAGTGACTCTCATTCCTTCACCATTTTCCTCCCTCTGTTAGTTCGCCAGGCCAGGAACCTAACCACCAATAACCCACTGACATAGCCCCAGTCCTTCTCAGCTAAATCCCTGGTTATAATTACATAACAAGAGTCAACAAAATTTAAATAAATCTGTCATTTATAATCATAAACAAACATATTTTACAAAAGATTATCCTTAAGATTATGCCTCAAGAACTATTACAACAATTTTTATACATTACATAAAAAAATGTTATGCAGATAATCTGAATCTTGGTCTAATTCCACAGAAAATCTTGAACTAAAATTCAATTAAAACAACAATTTTATGAATTAAACATATCAAAACTATTTTTTCAGATAGTACCAATCTACAAAGCTTTGATTTTTGACCCATTTTTAAAAAGTAATTCAATGCTGATGTGAACCCTTTCTTTGTGTACAAATTATTACTCACAGTTTCAATTTTTTTTCTTTTGTTTCACAAAATTCTTCTAGTATTTTTTTCTTTTTCAAATATGAATATTACATCCTAAACTTAGTGGCCCATTTTTGGTTACAAAAATTTAAATTCAACAAGAAAAATGTATAGGAAATACACCCAAGTGAGAAAGAGAGAAAAATACAAGAATTGAATTTCCAATTATTACCGTATTTAAAGAAAGAATCATTTTGTACACACAATTAATTTGATGAATTTACCAGTGGGGGTTAAAAACAAATGAACATTTAGTGTATATTTTTTTATCTGTGAAGTTTCTTTTCCCCATGATGTTTCAGATGCTACGCCCAACTCCTTTTCAAGTGATAAATTGTTCCAATGCACACTTGGAACGTTTTATTACATGAAAAGGTGATGAACATACATCCAACACGTTATGGTGAAAAGAACTATCATAGAATAAAAAATATCCTCCAAACATTAGTTCATTTTTAATCCCATATGACCTCGTAGATACTTCATATTTTAAAATAATTATATTCAAAATAATCTAACTTGAGATTTGTAGAACTGAATGATTTAATAATCAATAAAATTAAAATTAAAAGAAATTGATTTAATTTACCTGTGAATGTCTTTTGAGAACTTGAAGTTCCTTTGGGCTGGTCCTTGTGCAAATAGCGAGAGTTAATGTGTAATCAAATTGATGAATTATGAGATTGAGATATACAGTTTCTTCCCAATCAATGTCTGGGTCACCAATGGGTAATTTACGACTATCTTTGCGGAAAACATCAACTTCAGTCTAAAGAGATGGGAAAAAATTATTGTTGAAACAAATATTTCACTATCTCAGAAAAAAAATTGATATCAAATGCTTACCTCAAATTTAGGTAAATATCGAGAGGAACCTTTAATATGGCGCTTTCTCACAAAGAATAAAAGATCATCACAGTCAATGCAATGCTCTGTCTGAAATAAGAAGTGTCGGACAAACAAATCCGTCCAATAAGTGGTTCCTTGCAACATCACAAATCCTGAATCTGAAAGTTTAAGATGATTATCATTCAATTTTTTTAAATAAAAATATCTCTAAGAAAACTTTGCGGTCATTATATTATGAAAAATATTCAACATTAATTATATTTTCTGTTATCTTTTCCACATGACTTACAAGAACATAAAATGCAATATTTTTTCTTTTATATTTCAAAAAAATAATTGAAGATTACTATACCATCTTTCAAAAGTTGCCTCATTTCTTTTGTTCTTTGAAAATTAATTTCTTCAAGCAGTTGTTCCAACATAGTTGGTGCCTTAAGCAGACTGGATGCGCTACCAAACGCCATTGTCTTTTATTTTGAATATATAGGATTTCTCACTCACACCACAGAATTGCGGATTTCTGTCAATACATGTCACGGAACTATTTCACTAGTCTCCATTGAGCAGTAACTGCATAACACATCCAAGAAATCTTCACAATCACAAAAGCCGGTAACCCGTAAGTCTTGAAGAGAAGGCACACAACAATAATCCTCCAGCATCTCAATACACCTAGGGAAAACTGGGGAAAACCGATCTGTCAGATCATCATTCGCAGCAGCTGGGCTTCTCCGCCCTCTCATGTGCTGCGACGAAATATGACAGGAGTACCACCTTCATTACACGAAGTTGATGTTCTTTTTAAAAAGGAGAAATTCTATGATTCTCCTACATTTTGTAGTTCACAATTTAAAGTATACACGCAATTTAAAATTCCTTTTGAAAGTAAAACACTTTCACATGGGACATTTTTTATATAAATGTCTTCAAAACTAATACTATATTGGCAGAAATGAAGGCCAATCCAAACCAGTTCTGCGATGTGATCGATAATACAACCGCGCAATTCGAAGGAAGTAGAAAAGGCGTCCTCAATTCACCTTTGTTATTTGTGTTAGGCAATTACACATTTACTGAATGTTTAAAGACTGTAAATAGTAATCACGTTTCTATTACTTAATAATGTCTTCATCGATCTTCCCAAATGACATATTCCCCGCCACCTCTACTGCTGTGGTCATTAGTTCTCTTAGTATAGTGAATATTTTATCCCGGAAGATCGTCCATCGCTAGATGCTGAGATCAGAAGTCGACCAACCCGCCAGTTTGCGAGAGATTATATACAATAAATGTATATTATTTTTCAAACCTTGCCATATGACATTAAACGATTAAATTCGGTACAAAAGTGAAAGTCCCAAGTAAAATCTTTTCTGCTGCACAACTGTTTCTAAACAATTAGAAACTACACCGAGCGTCGAAAAGGAAAGTAATATTAATTTTAACAATGACATTTTATATATTATTTTCTATTTGGATTGTATAATTCTAAAGAATCTGTAACAAGTATTGTACTTCAGCTTCTGGGTCAATGACCTCATCTCGATCAGGTTTTCGTCCAATTTCCCTGGCCCTTGAAGAATTGCTGAGATGGCCCCTTGTTTTACTTCTGGACATAAATGTAACTTCGAATTAACTTCTCCCCATTTTACGTCGCCCGCAGTTTTTAACTGTTTTTGACGTAAATAAATAGATTTCTCTCTCCAGGTATCTCTCCCCAGAAAGGCATCGCTCCAACCGGCACAGGTTCCAAGCACCCGAGATGCGTGAAAGCGTAATGCATATAAGTGTGTGCGTAATGTGCGAGAATAGGACCTAGTAGCTATATAGCTTATGTGTCAAAAATCCACGGCAACGACAATGCTGACTCTGAGCTATCTCAGCCTATATTTTGTTTTTTGATCCCTCTTACAACCACATTATTGAAGATGAAGACTTTTTTCTTTTGAAATCTGTTCTTCAAAATGATATCTTTAAATAACAACAGGGGTGCCAATTTTTTACTTTCACACTACCGCTTACAGAAAAGAGAGAAAGTTATCTAGATCTGCATGAAAAAACGGCGAATTTTCGGCAGAAAAACTCTTCTTACAGGGTCCTGGTAACGAAAAAGTGGATAAATCCAGTTGCTAAATTTAGTTTAAAAAATTATCTAACTTGTGGTGTAGCCAGACTCCCTGTTTTGTGGGACTTTGATACCGAAAAATCGAATGACGGCGAAACGTCTGTGTCCATCTACCGTACCGTAAACAACGCTAGCGGCTATACCGTTCAGCCGACCTGACATGAAGTCACTGGGAAATTTTCAAAAAAATTACTCCGTCGTTTTTGATTAAATTTTGTTGTTGGATAGTCTGAATAACATTTAAAATAATGGAGCAGGTCTTATTTTCGCTGAAAACTTGATTTCTTGAAAAAAATTGCAAGAGTTCAAAATGTTTTCAGCGTTTTCCTACAACTACGATTATGAAGATAGAGATTTTTTCGATAAAAGAAATCTGTTTCTTAAAGATAGATTTTGAAATAAGTTCATGTACAATTTTTCGAAAATTTGAGTAATTTTGCATGAAAGTACCAGCGAGAAAGTAGGCCTACATGTTGATTTTATATCATTTTAAGTTAGCTGAGGCGATTTTTCAAAATTGTCTAAAGAAGATTGTACTTCATTGAATCTGTACTAAAAATGTACTAAAGAATCTGTTTTCCATTGAAAATGAGCGCATGTGATGTTAAATGACAAACAAACAGTCTGATGTTAAGGTATCAAAATTGTTTGGTCTCTCAAGGCAGTCAAACTCCAAATCGAATATCCATTTAAATTAATTAAACACAAAAGTAAGTTCATTTTGCTATGTGTTCAGAATTCTTTCAAATTCAGGTAGCCTTCATCAGTGACAGTATCAATAACTCACTACAAAAAATTCACATGCAACACAGGCTCATTATTTTAAAACACATTGTAAGATGATATTAAACGAGTGAAATTGATATAAAAGTTTAAGTCCCAAGTAAAATATTTTCTGCTGCATAACTATTTCTAAATTATTTGAGGCCATACTGAGCATCAAAACAGAAAGTAATTTTAATTTTAACATTGGTAATGTATTAATAAGCATTTGGACTGTATAATTCTAAACAAGCTCTAACACGTATTATATCTCAGGTTTTGGGTCATTGACCCCCATCTCAATCAGGTTTTTCTTCTTTTTTCCCTGATCTTCAGAGCCAATATCGAGATGCTCCTCGCACAATATTGCATGCAATATGTGCATTTTTAAAAAATTACAAAACAAGATTTTCTCAAAAATGGCTCCTAATTATTTCTATACACTTTTAATAGGAGTAGTTCTAATTGTACTCTATAAGATTACATAAATGCCATATTACTGTATTCTTCTGATTTTACAAAAATTACAAAATGTTATTTTTTTGACTTGCCTTTTATATTGTTAATATTTACATTAGCGACAATTTGTTCACATTATTATATTTTTGAGTACATGTGCTTTATATAAAAGCACATATACTCATATAAAGTTTCTTGAAAAATGTACCATTTTCTGTGAAAACTAGCTCAAAATTTTGCATTTTCAGAAACACTCAAGCGTCATTTTCTCAAAAACAGCTTAACATTTTTTTCTTCAATTATTTCGAACAGATAGTGCTCTAATTTTGATCAGATTCTACTCTTTAATATGAAATAAAGTTCATTTTAGTGTATTTTTTGTTTTTTCAAAAAATCCAAAATTTTTTGGGAAAAAGAGCTTTGAATTTCAAATTTACAATAGCACTTAAATGCCCGTTTTTTAAAAACAGCTTCAAATTTTTCAAAGAAAATTGCCATTTAGGAAGAGTTTTTAATGTTCTTTAATATCTAAAAATAATTATTTCGCTCTTCAATTAGGAAACCAAAAAATTAAGAAAATAAAAGAAAAATGTACTTATGTACTTTGGGCGGCAATAGATGGCAGCTAGCAAGATTATGTGACAAGTGGAGACCAAAGGAAACAGAAAACTAATATGGGGAAGTCTGTGCCATTTTGTAGAACCACTAGTTATCTCTTGAGTTAATTTTTACATTATAGGAGTATTTGATGATTAATTGGATTTGTGGGTACACATTTTTTAAATATACTGTAAGGAGCTGTGTGTGTACTAATAATGTAATATGTTAAAGAGTTGGTAAACTTTTCTTATAATCTTCTAGGAATATACCTTGGCAGCCATTTTCGGTAAAACTTTTCAATTAACAAAAATGAAAGATATGAACTTTTTTATGAATCTCTGACACTGTACTTGGTGAAGAGACTTTTTCAAGTGATGGCTGCAGTATTCATTGAGGGTTTACAAGTGGGAGTATTATAATATTGTATAACCTGCACAAAAAATAGGAGAAAATATATACTGTTACACTACTAGTTATGCACAACTTGTATACTTAAATATTTTTTACAGAAAGGGAAAGTGCATTCAATCACATGATTTAAGTGTCATTTTCATTTAAATTTTTGAGGTTACAAAAACGACATACAATGTTTTTCATCTAGCCTGGATATTTACATCACAGACGCATTTCATAGTTTAATGAATATTTGAACAGAAATATTTCAAAAAACTTTTTATGAATTTTCTCAAATTCTAAAATGTTTTGTAGTACAAATAATCCTAAAATGGTGTATATTAAAATGCTTCTATAACTTTTTTTTGATGTCATGGGAAAACAGGTTTTGCTGTTTTGAGATTTTTCTAAAGTCTCATTGTAATGAATTTATTAGAGGTCTAAGAAATAAAAAAGGAAAAATGTTTTTCGATCAAATCCAGTAGACAAAATTTCCCAATAAGCGCTCTTGTCAGTAGAAAGGTGGAGGGGGGTGGGGGCGATTGAACTTATAGTAAATTTAAATGTACAGTTTGGAGAGGGTCATCTTTTACAGTCTTGAGATTCAATGTAAGAATATTAGACACTTTTGCATAGATGTCAGTAATTTCTGATTTATATGCATATTGAACAGTTTCTTTAATTCATCAATTTCTCTCAGTGCAGAGAGCTTATTCTCATTTACAGAAGGCATTGCTTTTCTTCTTATAAATATTTACATTTTTTAACAGGAATATATTTTTTTCAGACAGGTTGACCCTTATGACCTTCTGCCTGTATACATTCAAATTTTTATGTTTTACATTTTATTATTATTTTATGAATTTTAAAGAAAATATGTACATATAATTGCAGACTTGAGTATTCAAAGCTTCCACTCTTTAAGAGCATTATTACTATAGTATAGATAGGACAGATACTGGTTTTATATGTGATTGCTGGGTGTGTGATGCAAATAAGGTCAAATTTTCTTACGATTGGGTCTTGTAAATTGTTAAGAAATTGACATACTTGGGTGCTATATTTCAAGAGGTTCAGTAAATAGTGTGTTGCAAGACATAACTAAAATGCTCCTAATATTTAAATTGTAAAGTAATTAGAATTATAATTTTACCATTACAAATAGAATGAGTAAGTCTGTGCTGTTTTGTAGTTCCACTATTTTTATTGTAAGTCAGTAAAAGTGGTTTAGGTCATATGATATTTAGTTAAAATTAATAGTACAAAATTGCTTTTAAGGCTTGTATAAAGGATTTGTATGAGATGAATGTGAAAGACTTGTGAAGAAAAATTTCTTCTCTTAATGAACGCTGATAAGCACTTACTTTAACAATTAGTTTCAGTAGCAAACAAATAGGGGGAAACT